GAAATTGCTTATGTTTAATGTAGTATGTTGTGTATTGTATATTTTACATAGAAAGAATTTTTAATTGCTAAGTATTAATATAATTAGGTCTGGTGAGATATCAACCGTTTAAAGTTTTTTTTAAAAATAAAACATTATATGACATGCATATTTTGTTCTATGATTTAAGTACACTAAAAATTTCGTTCTTAAACATAAACTCTGCCCCTTTAAGTATTTGTTTTTAAACATGTAAAATGGCAAGTATTCATACAGTTCTGTGTAACTATATAGAACTATGCATTTCTATGGAAAAATAAGTTAGATTGGAATCATTATCTTAATACCCCATGTCCTCCCAGGTTGGTACAGTATAGCATTCCTTAACCATCAGATGAATTCCAGAAAGACATTTTGAACTTTTAAGTAAGTGGGCATTGAATCTTTAAGCTTCCTCCTTCTATGTTTCAGACATATAGGAGGAACAGATAAAATTTAAAAGGAGAAAATGAAGACATAGCTATACTCTTAAAACAAGGCAAATACATCTTCATGGGTGAGAAATGGTGTAGAAGGACAGCTCAGTATGTGAGCCAGAGCCTGGTTCCTACTGAGCTCTGGTCCAGAAGCAGGCAGGTTGCCTCTAGAGTAGTAAGAATTCACACTGCTCCGTGGGAGTTAGAGTACTGGGCCCAGACTCAGTGCATAAAATCAGAGGCTGGGAGGGGCTCTTTCTCCCATGAAAGGAGCCTGAAAGAAAGAAGTGATCAATTCCTGCCTAGAACTGTGGATTTATATCAGTCTTAGCACTAGGGAGGCAGAAAGAATCAGACCAAAGCTCTCAGTCAGGACCTGAGCCAACCATCCTGTTGGTTTAATGACAGGAATGCTGAAGCCCACTGGTCACCATGGACAAGAGCTTGAGTAGAAAAATAATAAGAACATCTGTAACAACCAAACCCTAAAATTTATATAACTCATGACAGAAAATCATTTTGTGCTAAGAGTGCCATTATAATTCCATGCACAGCATTTTATGTGCGTTCTGGATAAAAGAACTGACCTTCTCTCACTCTCCCTGATGAAGTTGTACTTCTTAGGAGTATTTTGGAGTAACCATCTGCCTCTTCTCTAGTACTTGTATAAAATGCTATTGCTCTTTGTTTTATAATGATTATTTTCAGATTAATTGTGCTGCTTAATTCTCAGTGGTTCAGCTTTGTAGTCACCATTTTATTTATGTCATTGTTTATAATAATGGCTGAAATGTTTTTGTAGGGAACTTGGAATGAAAATGTGAAGGTATTATAAGATCAGCTTGTAGTTGAAGCATGCATGCATTGTCGAGACCAGAAAGCCAGATTTCTTCTTAGAACTCCTCACAATTTTGGAACTTTCTAAGACTGATTAAAAAAATAGTATTTTATGTCAGTTAGTTGTGGCACTCTGAGAAACAAGCTTTCTGGTAATTGTCATTGCTCTTAAACTCACTTTCAATGTAGAGGGGATATATCTTATAACAAAATTATTTTTTAAAATACTGAGATTTTAAACACTTCTAAAGAATTAAAAGCACACTTAGAAGAGTATTTTGCCATGTGCTAGATCTTAATTATAGTATATTTTGTAAGGGAATAGCTTAAAGAAAAATTAGTAACTGACTGTCAATGCCATCTTTTTTTCCTCTTTTAACCAACCAGGAAGAAGCACTTAGGCAATGTCATCTTAATATATACATAGAATTAATAATATCCTATATTTTTTAGGAATATGTGTA